TTATCTATAGAACTATACGAAACAAAATGTTTAAAATTTTAAAAGAACCAGAGCTATTAGTTCTTTATGGTAATTTAATAGAAGAATTTAAAATATTTCAGTATTAGATTCGTAACTTTATAAAAAGGTATAAGCTTATACTATATAGAAAACTAAAATATTTCAAAAACTTCCTGACAAATCTCAAAAATTATTAGAAAGTTTTTATAATTTCATTATTAATCTAAGAATCAAAAAATGTTTTGAATTAAAAAATATTTTTAACATAGATAAGATACCTGTGTGGTTTAACATAATTGATATTTATATAATTAACTTGAAAGAAGAGAAGACAGTTTATGTCTGAGCAACTGAAAATAAGAAAAATTGATTTACTGTCATTCTTATGATTACTGTAAGTATCGTTTATTTTTTTTTTTCTGTTTTTCTTTTTCATTTTTTTTCAATTTTTTAATCACTTTTTTTATCTAATTCATATCTTATTCTATCCTTCATTTAATAATTTCTCATGAGATGACGATTTATTTCATTACTTTACATAGATGGGTTCAAATTTTTTCTAATATGCATTATCAAAAATAAGTAAATATTATACAAAAAAAATATTTCTCCTGAAGTTATCATTTAATTTTAGAGTAATAATTAGATAGATAGTAATCTGATAATAAGTTACGTTAATTATCTTAATGATTTACAGATTAAAAATAAATTTGGAGGGATTCATCAATATTTGTGTATGATTTTTTTAGAGACCACTTAGAAAAATTAATTAAAGAAAAGTTTTATATAAGTGGTATTTATCTTATAGTAATTCTAGATAGATTGACTAGCATATATCAATCACTCAATATTTCATTAAATAAGTTATTCAAAGATAATTTTCATAAAAAATAATATGAATGGATGGTAAGTGGTAAAGTAGGAGAAACTGCAGCTAGAATTTTTCGCTGTACTAGCTTTAATAATATATGCTTATGAGTTAAATGAACTTAGAAAAGTATTTTTACAGAAGTTATTATTGAGTCCTTTAAATATATAAAATTTCTAACAATTTGAGCTCAGATTCAAAGGTTTCTGATTATAGTATCAGTGATAATATTAATCATAATATTAATATTCACGATATTGATAATGATAATGATATTAATGATAATGATAAAATTAATGATAATGACGAAATCAATAATGATAATAAAGTTATTAGCGAAGATATTATGTGAATTTTTTATAGTTTTAATTTTATATATATAATAAAAGAACTTTATAATTCATTTATAAAAATTTATTGCTATAAAGTTTTAATTGTAAAGGAATACTTATTTATAAATTCTATATAAAATAAGTGATACTTATTTTGGGGTGGTATTTATTTTCAGACGAATACGGTATATATATAAAAATAAAACAAATTAAATTTAAAATTAGTTCTAATAAGAATAAATTTGATAAATTAAAAAGAAAATAAGATTACTCAAAATTATAAAGTAAAAAAATTTAAAATATTTAAAAAGAATAAAAATTATCAAATATAATAAATCAGATTAGTCACATTTTTTTTTTAAATATTTATACTTATATAATCAGATTTATGATTTAATTAAATTCAAATCAGCTGATTCAAAAAAAAGATAATTATTAAAATATAGATTATTGTAAAAATTTAAAAGAAAAATATAATATTTATATAATACAGATAATATTAAATAATAATTTTTTACCTTGTTAAGTTAACATAATTATTGTAAAGATTTATTATTATCTAGTATAGATTAATATAACTAAAGTTATATATATAAATTTTAAGAATATTCTAATAAATACTACTATTTCATATTTATTAAATATATAAGGCAATTTTGCTTCTATTTACTGATATATTTATTATTATTTTTATTTGTAATAAATACTTTATAATTAATTAGTAATCTTATATTTATAATTAATCAGATTTTTCTATAAAAATTAATTTCTTCAGTATATTTAATGATAATAAAATAAATTAAAAAATAAATTTCTAAATAAAATAGTTTATAACATTTATATATTTCTAATAGCTTAATATATTTTCACTTATATATATAGAATATTTGTTATTAAATTAAATTATCAACATAGTAATTTATATGATCTGTAATATGATTTTAATAGTTTATCTCCTATATATAAGATTTAAAAATCTTTGCAAATTCTTAATATAATAATATATTAAAAGTAAATAAATTTATTCTATTAAAATATTATTAGTAGATAGTAATCAAAAAAATTCCTGATATTTGAAAAATAAAAAGGTATATTGTTAACTTTTTAAAAAGTTTAAATTATTTAAGTATATAAATACAAATTGTAAGATAATCTGAATATAATTCTATAAAAAAAGTATATTAATATTATTTAAAAAATTTGCTAGTTTTATATTATCAAATAGTTATTTTAAAAATATTTAGATTTAATAAAGTAATTCATGAATTTTGAATTAGCTACTTAAAATTTTTAATATGTTAGAGAAATTCTTTGTGATCTTTGAAGTTGTAATAATTTAAAGTTATAGAAAAAAAATCTGAAAAATTAAAAAGATAAGAAAAATAAAATTGTAAAAAAAAGAATAATTACTTGTCTTATCTGAATTTTATTTTATATTTTTAGATTAAAAAATATCTTATTTATTTAAAAGTAAAAATATGAGTTATTGTAAATCATTTAAAATTAAAAAAGTTATAATAGTTTCTTATTTTTTGTTACTAAAACTAAAGAGAAATATTTTATAAATCCTATTAATTTACCTATTATTATGATTTTTTTAAAAATCTTGAATTATAATTAAGGTTGCTTGACAAAATTTAGAGGTTTTGCAAGTTATTTAAATGAAAAAAATAAAAAAATTAAAATTTAGTAAAATTATATCAAAATCTTAGTAAAAATTAGCAAAACTAAAGTTTAAATATTTTATCAAATCTAAAATATGTTTAAATAAGCAACCTTAATTATGATGCTTATTATTCATCTTTTGAAATAATATTTATTCATATTTTTATTATTTTATTTATCATAAGTACTTTTTATTTTCATCTTTTTAACTAATCATCAGAAATAGTATAACTTATTATTTAAGAATAACTAAAAGTATAATCTAAAAATTAAAATAAATAGAATTTAATAATAACTGATAACTTTTTCTTCTATTTTATGAATAAATTATTTATTTTATTTGTATATATTTTATAAAAAAAAAGTAAAACTAAGTTTTATATTAAGTATTATAATATTAAATAAATAAATATTTCTTAATTTTTAAATTAATATAATATAATCTAAACTTTACTAAATTACATAAGATATATATATATAAATATAATGTAAGATATATTTTTGCAACCTACATTCCTAAAAATATTATATAATAAAGCTATTACTCTTATTATTAAAATTTTTATAAAAATTTGTTTAATAAAATTTATAATAATAAATAATTAGTTTAGATACTAATTATTCTTATTTTTTAATAATAAATAATTAATTTTTAAAATTGTAGACAAATTTATTTGCAATACTATTAAAAGAATAATTTAATTGAATTAAAATTAAATTATAATAAAAAATAGAAATTTTAAAATAAAAATATTTTATAAAAGAAATTATAACTATTTTAAAAATTTTTATTAATTAAAATTAATAAATAAAAATTAACTAATTTTAATCTTTAATATAAATAAATAAAATAATTATTAAAATATTATAGTTAATATTATTTTAAGCTTTATTTATTCTACTTATTATATTTATTTATTAATACCTAAAAATTTGTAATTATACTTATTTAACAATAAGTTTAAATGGTAATTTATATTAAATTTCAATCATATCTAATTTATATCTTTCTAATTAACTAAATCTAATAAATCAAAAATAATTGTAAATTTTATTAGAAATTATTTTTGAAATTAAAATCAAATAATTTTTATACAAAAAATGAAGACTATATGAATAGATAGAACTAAAAAAAAAAAAAATTCTTTTTTAATTAAATAATAAATAAGCTGATGCTAAAAAATAAAAATATTTGCAAAATTTTAAAATAAATAAAGATTAATATTTAATTGATTATATTAATATTATTTTAATTAACTACTATTACATCATAAATTACTTGTAGTTAGTCATTTGTGAATCATTTTTGACAGGCTGGTAGGATGCTAAAATGATACAATATCAAGGATGATAAGATGATAAGATGCCAGTCTTTCTAATTAATTTTTTATATATATAAGTTGAAAATCCTTTAACAACTAAACATACAATGTTACCTATTATTACATATATTTTTTTTGCATTTACCATTTAATATTATAACTTTGTTTATTTTTAAAATCCTAATTTCTTCTTATTTTATTTTGTTATTTATATATTTGCGTAATTTTTAATACGTTGGTAACACTGATTAATTGATATTTTCTAAAGCTATTATTTTATATATAGTCAGAACTCGATATAACGATTTGCGATATAACGAACTTATTTCTTAAACCAAAACCACTTATAATAAAATTATCACTACATACTGATTTATTATAAATTTCACGATATTGTATTTGCGATAATATATATACAGTATATATATTTTTTTAATGGACGATCATCATACTAATATCAAATGTTAAATAAAATCAGATTTTGTAATCATCTTTTACCATGTTTTCTTAAAAATAATCGTAATGCATTATCTATGGGACAAAAGCAAGAACTTTGTCTCAAAAAATTAACAATCCATTTATACAAAATAGAACTTGCTGAATATTATAACATCAAATCTAATATAATTAGTGATATTTTGAAAAAAAGGTCTGAAAATTTGTCTATTATTAGTTCTGAACAGATTTGAACCAACGTATAAAGAGTTGGATGTCTCAATTTTTATCTATAAATCAACATATAGTGCAAAATGTATAACAAAAATAAAGGACCGCGGAAGAACTTTACCATAGGTACATGTATTTATGTCACTTTTAAGATAAAATTCCCGATTTAATAGCTAAAATTTCATAGTTTTGTCCGATTTTGGCAAATCCAGAAAGAACATAATGAATTCCTGGCAATGGCTAATAATGAAAAATAAATTGGTTTATAAAAAAACCATTGAACTAGAAATATACGCAAGAAAAGTGAAATAGGAAAAAAAAACTTACATTACCCGCTTTACCAATAACCCATTTACCGTCATCCCAAACTCTGGCTATAAACAATTCATCCTTATTATCCTTAAACATTATCAAATTTAGTTAATATATTAACGTAAATACAAAGTTAAACAAATGAATAAATAAATATATACATGTTCAGTGCCAACCCTCAAAGGAGTAAAATTGAATTTAGTTTGATCAGGAACTCCGGATCTATTACAAGAAATTATGCAAATAAAGAAATTTTATACATGTTTTACGAGCCGATTATATAATAATAAAAACGTTTAGGATTAGAAATCTAACTCGTAGCAAAGTATTTATTTATAACTTACAAGGGAATCCACTTGAATAAAGTCTCACTTTCAGTTAAGGCATTATAACCTTGAGCCGCAACCAAAACTTCATAATTTGGAATTAACATTACGCCACTAGCATATTCGACCACTAAAGCTTTCTTTGATTTGCTAACAAATCCAGGTTGCGTACCACCATATTGATCGATACCACGACCAATCGCTTTTCCACAGACTCGGAATGCATTTGTAGGTATTCTGCCTGCACCAGCTGATACCCATTGAACGGCCTGTAACATTATAAAGATTTTTTTTTATTTTTATTTATTTATTTATTTATTTTTAAAAACTAAGTCATTACACTTTTCAATTATATTACCGGATGATTTTGACCAACGTGTGGACGAGGCATGTTGATATGATTTTAATGACAATGTCGTAAACAATGCGTTTATATAGATGCGAAAGCCGTTGAATGACAAAGATGTGATCTCATGTGAAATTACGTAACACATGCAGTAATTAATAAACACCCATTTATCAACATTGTCCAAGTCGAGACCTGTATGGCATGGCCGAAAATAAGTTCCTTTGTGCCGGTCTAGAATATGTACTCTAATCCGAAGTGTAGTTTACCATGCAACGGTCTGTCTATTCGCATCAATTAGATATGTATAAAATATTTCACCCACCCACAACGGCCGATTTGTTAAAAAAAAAAAATGTAAGATGATTATTTTGGAGCGATCATCACTTTCCTGAGAAGTGATCAAAATAATTTTACCAATTTTATACACCATGATGAAATTAAACATTCATTTTCAGGTTATGACCAACATGAATATTATCATCGATCCAAATTGCTTTATCTTTTATGAATTTAATGATTCCTTTGTTACTAATAATATATCCTTGAATTTGTAAAATAATGATCTGCACAGGACCCCGAACAATACATGAAAAGGTAACAATATAGAGTTTGCGTATAATGAGCCAAGATTTATGTGGATCATTTCCTTTTTTGGATATTTCACACCAGCATTACATAGTGCCGGGTCCAAGATGCTCATTTCAGACAATACTCAAATGAACATTTTGGAAAATATCACTTCAAATAATAATTTTGTTACAAATAATTTATAAAGCTTTATTTAAGTTGTAAAATAAAAATTACACAATAATTTTACATTACATTTTATATTAAAAATTTTAACTTCAGATATTTATTTGTAATCTTAAAGTTTTTTAATAATAATAATATAATTGATTATAAGAGAAGGCAATTTTTTTAAATTAAATCTTGTGCATTTTTATATTTTCACATGTAAAGATTAATTATAAAATTTAATTAAAACATAAAGTGGTTCATTTAGAATATACTGAAATGATCATTTGAAAAAGTCTGAAGGAAATGATCATTTGAGATATATTATTTAAAATAATCATTTGGGAGGGTTTTTAGGAAAGAGCTTAATATATTTTAATCTAATAACATCAAAAACTAAAATGCAATAAAAATCTCAATTTTGTTAAAAAATTTCCAAAACCTGATTTTCTAGCAATCAACCCATTTAGTATTATGGTAAATATATATTTCAAATATGCATTCTGATTTAAAATATTCCAATTGGCATTTTGATAAAACTTTCAATCATAATTAATGCTATATGATTTAATTAAAATATATTAGCATAAAAAATTTTCTTAACCTTTATAAGTAAACAATCTGATTAGATCAAGAATAAAAAGATTGATTATTTTTTATATTACTACTATTAGCTTAAAAATAAATAGTAAGGTGTTAATTAAGATATTAGTCATTTTTAGATATTTTTTTCAATTCCATGAATTTTAGTTAGTTTTTTCACCTTTGATAACTTTAAATTATAGCAATACATAGTTTATATTTGTGATAAAAGATTTAATACTTTTATCTTTTATTATTATTATTTTGTAATTTCTTTTAGCAAATTGTTTTGTGATTTTTATTTTTAACTTTTGGCTAAAAATTTGTTTTTGAATTATCAGACTGTAAAGATTATTATGTTTACTTTTAATTAATTATGAACTATAGTATTTAATATTTTTTAGTTTAATTTCTATACATCTTTAATAAATTAATTACTTAAATTAGTTCAATTATATAATAGATAAAATTTAAAAATATGATATTAATAAATAATTATCTTATATTCATAAATAGATTTATTATTAGAATCAATTTTAATATTAATTATATAAAATTTATTTATAAATAAGGGAAAATCGAATTAGCGACCCCGATCGCCATGACGACCCCTAATTAACCAATCAAATTTAAGCATTAAGTAATATGTTCAACCAATTAAATTTATCGTTTTGCGAATCACAAAAAATTTCTCGTGTAATGCGTTACGTTTGTTATTGCGAGTCACAAGAATTTTGATTGTGTAATATGTTTACGTTCGTATTGCGAGTCACGAGAATTTTGATCATGTAACGCGTTTATGTTCGTATTGCGAGTCACGAGAATTTTGATCGTATAATGCGTTACGTTTGTATTACGAGTCACAGAAATTTTTGTGTAATACGTTTATGTTCATATTGCAGGTCACAGAAATTTTTTGTATCACTTCTTTACGAAATTTTTCATCAATTTCACATGTTGTATGTGCCAGAAGACGCTAATTTCAGCCCATAACATGAAATTTCGTATAATAGCCTAAACGTCTAGCTTTTTTCGGCTTTGGCTTCTTTTGAGTCCAAAAGAATAGGTAATTTGGTGTGGCAGTATTTTTATTTGGGTTCATGGTAGAAGACTTAGGTTCATGGTGGAAGACATATATTACCTTCTTATAATAATTAAACGTTTTTTGCTTCAATGTAAAAATTCTATTTGGTAGCTTTTTTAGTTTCTTTTTTGATATCATTTTTTTCGACTTTGGCTTCTTTTGAGTCTAAAAGAATAGATAATTTAGTGTGGCAGTATTTTTATTTGGGTTTATGGTGGATGACTTGAGTCATAGTGAAAGACATATATTACCTTATAATAATTGAACGTTTTTTGCTTCAATGTGAAAATTCTATTTGGTAGCTTTTTTAAGTTCTTTTTTGACTTCTCATCACTTTTCATATAAACACATTTTTGAATACTCTTGAATAAGAGTTTGCATAATATGGGAGAATCGAGCATACAAGACAAAGAATATGAAGCATTATTAGAGTATGATAGTGCAGAAGATTTTTCTGATACGGATAGGTAAGTAATTAAATTTTTAGAATATCGTATTATAAATTGGGTGATATAAGTCTAATAAAAACAACATTTTTATCGTAGTATATCTGATGAAATTGTGGATATAGAAAAGGATACGAACCTTTTTGTTGGTAAATCTTTTCAAAGTTGGGATCATATTGCAAAGTTCATGAAAAGGTATGCGACCGCTAAAGGTTATGGGATACGAATTGGTGGTGGCAGAAAGATCAATAAAATGATAAATGAAGTAATAAAGCGAAGGTATTTGTGTCGCCATACTGGAAAAGCCATATTCAAACAAACAATACAATCAAATGTGTCATCTTGTCGAGTAGAATGTCCATGGCTAGTTAATATTTGAGTTAAGAAGGGAAAAGGCTATTTAGAAGTCACAAAATTTAACGATATTCATATTGAATACGAGTGTCATCCATCAGCAAGTAAATTCGTTTCAACATTACGAAAATTGCCAGAAGGAATTCTTGAAGAAATTTGATTTTTAACCGTTATTGCTAAAGTGAACGTAACAGTACAATACCGAATTATTCGAGAAAAGTTCAAGACAAGAATATACCGGCCTGATCTTTATAATGCTATCGATAAATTTCATCGTGAAGTAACACCAGGCGAAAAGGATACAGATTTATTGTTAAAGAGACTTCACGATAAAAAAATTGGAGATTCACGATGGGTAATCTCAATGAAGTTTGATCCAGTTACTTCATCGTTAACACATCTTTTTTGGATGAGTTCAGAACAACAAATTTTGTGGTTACGCTATCATGATGTTGTCATGCATGATAATACCTGCAAAACTAACCGTTACAATCATCTATTGTCTCTTTTCGTCACTCTAGACAATAATTTAAATACACGAATCGTAGCTCAGGTGATTGTTGATGATGAAACACAGCTCTCCTATGAATGAGTTTTTCAATGTGTAAAAGAAGCAATCAGTATACCACCAAGAGTTTTCGTAACTGATGGTGATCCTGCAGTTAATGCTGCAGTTATAGTACAATTTCCTGATGCTTTTCATATGCATTGTATTTGGCATATAAGTCAAAATCTACCAAAACAATTGAAAAGAAAGTTGGATTCAGGTTTCAGTAATTTTATGAAAGATTTCTATACCACAAGGAACAGTTTAAAAGAGGAATAGTTTAATGAAAGGTATTACCATTGTTAATTTATAAGCATTATAATTTCATTGTTTATTGCATTGTATTTAAAGTTTTTTTTTATTGTTACATTTATCAATTTATTCAATAAAGATGGAATGCTTTGCTACAGAATTATCCACAATCAAAAGACTATTTGACGAAGGTTTTAGGATGCAATCCTCAATCGTGGGCGCGTACATTTACCAATAGATATTTTACTGCTGATGCATAATCAACCTCTCATAACGAAGGTGAAAATGCTATATTAAAACGACTTTTCGGAAGTTCAAGTCTTTCATTATATGAATTATTTAATGCATTAGAAGAAAGGTATCAGGAAGAAAATGATTATTGTGAATTTGTAAGTTAAAAGTAAACTGTACCGCAGATAGGACCTCAGAATGTATCAAAATCTATTTTCAGGCCTATTGTAAGACAATTGCACGATTTCTTAATGCCAAATGTTATTAAAAAACAGGAGGAGCAAATGAACTTAAGTCTCTGTTATCATGTTACAGAGATTGAATTTGAAAATGCGCGTTCTAAAGAAAATGTTAGTATTTTATGTTATTTGGTTATATAATTGAGTCACTTTTTAATGTTACTGAAATAATTGTCTTACCTTAGGTACTTGATGAATCAGACAGATTTATTGATAACCTGTTTGACTTTCTACAAATCCATTTGAGTTCCTTTCCAGAAGATACTTCGACTGTCCTTGAGGCCTGGGAAATTTTACATTTAGCAAATCTGAAAACATCACACTTCATATACCTTTTGAATGATAGTACCTTTCTTTGTACATGATGATGTTCAGATCGTATGGATATATATGCCGCTACTTTTATCGATTAATAACTCTTATACCAATCGCCCGATTCTATATTGGATTAATAAATTAGCGTTGGTATAAAAATCAATTGCAAGGAATCAACATATCAAATAATGAATTTATTATCATTTCCTTAAATGCATCAACATCAAAGAATTATTCATTACCAACTCGATTTTTACAACCACTAAGTTTCGATTCCAATCAAATCGGAGAAATTAGGACAATTAACGATAGTAATAAAATATCTAGTATTATTTTAAAAAAGCGCAAATTCAGAGAATTGTTTGGTTTAGGGAAAAAAATTATGAGTGATGTTGTTGAAAAAGGTAATGAGAACACTTATCATGAGGTTTTAGAATTTTTTCGATCTATTCAGCAGAAAATGTTACAACACAGAATTCTTGGTAATAGCGGAGGGAATTTCAACACTCAGAATGATAATAAAAATTTAGAGATCTGGAATCCTATTTTACGAAGACCGAAAGGTCATCCTAAGTCAAAGAAAATTAATAGTATTTTGGAAGAGCCTAATACTAAGACATATAGATGTAAGTTATGCAAACAATCGGATCATAATAGCAAAACTTGCAAAGGAAAGGAGAATCAAGTAGTTTGAAGGAATTTTAATGTGTATGCATGTATGCATCGTATAATTTTAGTTTAGTCTACACTATTCTTTATTGCATATACGTTAACTTAAATAAATATACAGGATGTTTATGCATGATACATTGTATATGTGAAAAATATTTATTGTTTAAGTAAAACCTTTACATTAGCATTAAGAAACATTAAATACATTAAGATAAATAAAATTTTGCTATTAAATTTTGATACTTACTAACGATATTATAAAAAAAATATATTACATTCTGTCCAATCAAACTCGAATCACATAATAGGGTCACTATAGCGACAGGGTCGCCAAATAGTATTACCCTATAAATAATATTTAAAAATATATTAAATTATCTTAATTTTATTATTTTTATTAATTTTTGAATATAATTAATAATAAGTTAATCAAACTTATTATTTTTAATATATATTATCTTATACTTCTCCATTTATAGAATTAAATAAAATTAACCAATATTTAAATTTTTTATTTCTATTTATTTAATTCATATATTGAATAAATTTTATTTATACATAATTTTAATAAATTTCTTAATAAATCTTATATAGAATTTTTGTTACATTAAAATCTAATACTATAAATAGTTGACTAAAGTACTCCCTGAGTATTGTATTCTTTCCACATTTTTTAAAGGTGAAAAATGTATTGTATTCAGGATATAAAATACCAATAAATAAATTAATTTTTCACAAAAAATGTATTATATTCAGAATACAAAACACCAATAAATAAATTATTTTTTCACAAAAAATTTATTGTATTTAGGAATATAATACTTAAATCAAAATATTTTATTTTTAAGATAAAATTTGATTTATTTGATATATATATGATATAAAAAATTCAATACAAAAAAAATTCAAAAAAAAAAATTAATTTCAAATATTTTCATAATTTGGCAATTTCTCTTCATTATATTCATTAAATTCTAAGTCATCTAATGGTAAATCATTTTCAGATTCATTATCAGATTCATCAATTTCTATTTCATCTTCATGGTAAATATTATTTTTTTCATTCTTTTTGTTATTCTTTTTTTTAAATAAAGAATCATAATCTAATAATAAATGATCTTCACTTCTATCTTTAGCTACTAATACTTCACAATATTTAAATAATTTGTAAATTAAAACAGTATCAATATCATTCTATGAATCTATAATCCATTTAGCAATAGTAGAATATAATGATTTTTTAATACATCCTGCTGGTGTTAATTGATGAATTTCTAAAGCCATTCAATCTTGATAATATTTTCTCAATTTAAATTTAAAACTTTTATTAATAGAAATATCTAATGGTTGAAGTTTACTAGTAAGATTGCTTAGAATTACTGCTATATTTGTTTGTTTTTCAACAAATTTATTCTTAACAAAATTAACTAAATATCTCTAAAAGAATCTAAAACTAAAAGAGATTAAGGATTACTTAATAGATTACGTTAATTCTATACATTTTCAATCCACTATAATATTTTATTTTTATTTATCCATCCCTTTTCATTTACACGAATGTTAATACCTTGAGAAAATTATTTTATTAGAATATTTTTTAATTTAAAAATACAAGTAGCTGAAAGTTTAGTACTATCAGCCAAATATAATAAAATAATAGTAAAATGAGTTTTTTTATGATAAGTTATATAAATAGTTACTATTAATGTATCGCATTAATTTAATGTTATATTTGAAGGTAAATCATAAGTAACTGATATTTCATCTATATTACTAATATATTTTAAAGGATAATCATATTGAATTCTTCGATATAAAATAAAATTAAAAAACTCTGTTATTTTTGTAAAAAGATCATTTAGAAGATATTACATAATATAAGCTCATCAACGTGTTATAAAATTAATCTTTTCATAAAACTTTCCAACTATATTGTTGAAAATTTAAAGTTATTGATATTTGGATAAAGATTAAAATAATCTTTAGTAATAGATTTAGCCTTTTTAATAACCATATTTCATGTAACTACTTTTGCTGCTTAACACATATCTGTTACTATAAAGACAAATTTTTTTCAAGTCTGAAAGATGTGCTTCCTTCCTTTATGCAGTTTTTAAATATAAGAAGCTGTATTTTCTAATTGATTTTTTTTGGTTTTTCCAATATCATATTTGTTTAGGCTCAACTTCAAATTTTTTGGCCGCCAACCTATTACTTTCACATTATTTAGCATAAAAAATAATAAGCAACTTTTCTCTTGCATACTACTACCTTTTTTTCTTTAATATAATATGAGATTTTTTATGAGAACCCTTATTATGATATACTACCATTTTTTTTGAAAAAGAAAAAGGAATGTGTTTAAAAAAAATAATATAAAATTAATTTATTTGCATTACATTCTGATTTAATTTCAATTTCAATCTTAGAAATTCATAACTAAAATTCTTTGATCACATTTTTTTCAAAAATAGCATCTGATTCTATTAAAATTCATTAGTAATGCTGATTTGATTTTTTTTTCTATCAGCTTGTTTGTTATTAATAAATAACTTTAGTTTTAATTTTTTAGAATTAGTTAAGAGAAACTATCAGGTTTGACTACTTTAGACAATTCAAATTTAATAGATAAAATTTAAACTAGAATAATTTAAACTAGAACAAAGTTTAAATAAAAAAAATTTTGAATGAGTCAAAAAATTATTTTATTGACAAATTTTAATGTGCAAAAATTTGTCATATTTTATTAGTTTTGGTAAATATTCTTGTACTTTCTCATCTGATCAAAGTATCTCTTATAGTATTTATTGTACTCCTAAAGTTTGAGAAAATTGTATTATATTTGGAGTATCTTAGTCAACTATTTACGGTATATTTGATATTTTAAAATATCCTTTCTATAAATTTTTAATTTCTTTTCATGATAAATCATTTCTTGTATTATAATTAAATAATGATTTAAAATTTTTATATTTTATAAGTCTAGATTTAGGTTGCTTTAAAATAAATTATAATATAATATTAGAAATAAGTAAAAAATAATTAATTATTATACTTATTGGTAGTATAATTAAAATTTCAATACATCTTCTCTAGAAACTCCATCAAAATCCTCAAATACATGATTTTAAGTATACATAATTTGATTTATAAATAACACAAATTGATTTTTAAGTATTTATTTTAATGATATCAATGAATTTATATAATTTATTAATATCAAAAAAAAATAAAATTTATTAATAATAAATTCTTAAGCAACTTTTTAATTAATTATTTTATTTTTTTTTTTGATATTTGTTTTTTAAATTTTTTTTTAATATTAGTTTTTTTATTTATTTTTATTTTAATAAATTTTTTATTTCATATTTTATAATATTAATGATTTATTATATTTTTTTTATTTGATAAATACAAAATTTTTTAAAAAATAAAAATTTTCATGCATTCTTATAATATATTTTTTAAACTTTTTTTTTGATATTATTTAAAATAAAGTCTGATACTTATTTTACTAGCTGTAAATATTTAAAGTATCATCTGAATTTTTAAGTATTGAAGCCAAAGATATTACTAAATAGCTTAAAATCTATAAAAAATATTATCAAAAATTTCAAAAAGTTGATAAAAATCAAAAGTGATATGTGAAAATATATGATAATCAAGCAGCTACCTTAGATATTATTAATATTAATTTTTTAAGTAAAATAATTATAATCCTTTTAAAAAATATGTTATCTGATAATCAGAATTTATACTATTTAAACAAAAGTAGCAAACTTTTTATTTTTGTTAATTACTCAAAATTATACATAATAATAATAATTGAAATTTTAATAATTAATGACATAAGTTCTTAAAAACATACATTTTAAATTTCATAATTCTAGCTTTTATATAACTATATTTACTAAAAAAACTTAAAAAGAAATATTAATAATTATCATGTTGTTACGTTAGGTTTCATAACTTCAAATAAAATCTCAAAAGGGATAAATAAAACTAAGACAATTACTCAAGGAATCACAGGTGAGGATTCACAATAATATTAAAGAATTATTCTCAATAATAAATACGTGAGATAAATACAAAATAAACATAAAGATAACTCAAAGATATTTCAGAGATTACGCTTCAGAGACTCCAAGTTAATACAGCTAATCAATACAATATCATATAATAAGTTAACTAACGAAAGGGATTGCACAAATGCAAAGGATCACAGATGATGTATAACAGTTTCAAAGGGTTTGCGAAGGATAAGTTTAATATACTCCTTTATTAATATAATAAATAAGTTCAGTACCTAAAAGATTAATATCTCGTCAGTGCTGAGACTCAAAGAAAATACAAAGATATTTATATATGTTGAATAAATAATAAAATAAACTAAACTAAATATATCGAAGGAAATAAAGTTGCCATTTTGCTAGGCAATAAAGTTGCTGTGTCATCAAAATTGCCAGATCTGCAGGTAACTAAATGATATCTATGATTTACGTGATTATCAAAAGCAATAAAATTGATATCTAAGGATTTACATAATTGATCAATGACAATAAAATGGATAAAATGATCTTCATAGAAGATTTACATGGCAATAAAATTGATTTCCTATTCTACCAATTAAATCTATCTAAAATTTTACCTGTCACAACGTATATATATTATATAATAGTAAGTAAATAGTCAGTTTATTTAGAATTATACATAATAAAATATTTTAATTTTTATATTATTTTGAAAGTAATAGTTTAGAAAAATAAATAAGTATATGAATTTTTATATTTTTATTTTACAAATTCATAATTTTTGTTTTTTTTTTAATTTAATGATCATCAGAATTTTTTTAAATTTTTTAATTAATGCAGCTGTATAAAGGTTAAAAGCATAAAAATTTGATTTTATGTTCTTTAAAATCTATATTATTATATATTAAAATTTCAAGTATTATTATGATATGTAATTTCAAGTAATTAATAAAAATAGAGGGACTATTGCTTTTGTCTAAGTAATTTAACA